GTTGAGCTTTTGATTACTGATACAGAATAGCAGATTGAAACTATGTTCTTGTGATAAATGGGTCTTTCTCAGTTTGGCAAGCTGGTATGGGTGCAGTACCGAGAGGTTAGAGCTGTGGTCTCAATTATTGGCAATAGCAGTGACTTGGGTAAGGGGTACTGAATGTATTGTTGCTAAATTTTCCAATAACACCAAGGCCAGTATAAAAGTAAGCTGTTAAGAGAAGGTAGAGAGTCTGCCAAGGGATAAAGATAACTTAAATGAATGGCCAAAAGTTTAGCAGAAGGAGTATCATTAAGGAAAGTGTGACCATGTTCACTTCAGGAAGAATAGAAAAGCAGCATGTTATTTAAGTGGAGAAAGATTGTAGAACTCTGTGGCACTGAGGGGACTGAGTGTTCCGGTACAAGAGTCACAAAGAGTTAGTGAGTAGGTACAGCAAGTGAATAGAAAGGCAGATGAAATATTGTTGTTTATTGCAAGGGAAATTGAATAGAAAAATAAGGAAGATTCAGTGCAATTGTGCAGGCTGTTGGTGAGACCAAGTCTGGAGTACTTTGTCCAGTTTTGGTCTCTATGGCAATGTGGCCTATGGTTAGATTTGTGGCGGAGTTGCATGAGAAGTCAGATCAAGTCCATCTTGACATCATGAGTATCTCACTCCATCTTTTATATGTTTGATAAGTGTTGAGGTGAGTTTCTCAGTAGGCCATGGGGAGTTGCCAGCGAAAGGGGAATTATTGCTTGTAAAAAACACCTTGTTAATAGCTGATTTGCCTCATTAACATTCAGCTTCTTGACTTACCAAATGTGCCAACCAAACTAAGCATCAAGAAATTCTGTCTTGTTGGATGAGATAGTTCCCATTGATTTGTTTGTTTTCCTTGATCATGCTGCACAATTCAAAGAGGAGCACGCAGTTCACCTCTTAAGCTGACCAAGATCATTCCCTCAAATAGAGATGAAGTAAATCTTCATTTTATTGCTGTTTGTGAGATAGAATCATAGAATCCCTACAGTGTGGAAACAGGCCCTTCAGCCCAACAAGCCCACACCGACCCTCAGAGCATGGCATCCAGACCCATTCCCCCACCCTTTCCCTGTAACCCACTTAATCTACACATCCCTGGACACTACGGGCAATTTAGCGTAGCCAATCCACCTAGCCTGCACATTTTTGGACTGTGGGAGGAAACCAGAGCACCCAGAGGAAACCCACGCAGACATAATGAGAATGTGCAAACTCCACGCAGTCACCCAAAGGTGGAATCAAACCCAGGCCCCTAGCGCTGTGAGGCAGCAGTGCTAACCACTGCGCCATCACACCACCCCAGTAAATTTTGAGTTAAAATTTACCCTTGAGCTGATGCAAAGGTAAATAGCTGCTATGTTTGCCTGTATAATATGCTCCCATAATTTGAAGTTTGTTCATTGTATTGTGCCTTGAGCACTTCAGTATTATAAGGTGCTGTAGAAGCATTAGTGAAGAAATTTTAAATTGTAATTTGCTTAGAGTCATAGAGATGTACAGCATGGAAACAGACTCTTCGGTCCAACTCGTCTATGCTGACCAGGTAGCCTACATTAATCTAGTCCCATTTGCCATCATTTGGCCCATATCCCTCTAAACCATTCTCATTCATATACCCAACCAGATGCCTTCTAAATGTTGTAATTGTACCAGCCTCCACCACTTCCTCTGGCAGCTCACTGCATACATACACCACCTTCTGTGTGAAAACGTTGCCCCTCAGGTCTCTTTTAAATCTTTCTCTCTCACTTTAAACCTATTCCCTCTAGTTTTGGACTCCATACCCTGGGGAAAAGACCTTGGCTATTCACCCTATCTATGCTCCTCATGATTTTATAAACTTCTTTAAATTCACCCCTCAGTCACTGACGCTCCAGGGAAAGTAACCCCATGCTATTCAGCCTCTCCCTATAGCTCACATCCTTCAACCCTGGTAAGATCCTTTTAAATCTTTTCTGAACCCTTTCAAGTTTAACAATATCTTTCCTATAGCAGCCTTGTGATGTACATATTTAACATCTGGCAAATATAAAAGCTTGTTCTCTGTGTTCATGTGTGTTGAAGGATCCAAGAATTTTCAGCTTCACTATGGGCATGAAAGTGTTGATATTGAATCTGATGCCATTTATATGTCCAATATTCTGTTCCACTTCCTTGGTCTTTTCACTACTTAACTCTCAAAAAAAATCCAACCTCATTGGCTGCAATCTTTAGAGAATTATAAATAATAAGAATAGCACCTCAAGATTGGGCAGCAATCTTTACGAAGTTTTTACAAAGAGACATAGGAATCACTCAGGAAATTATGGGCCAATTACCCTAATATTTATTGTAGGTAAAGTATTAGAAAACAGTCTGAATGAAGGGATAATGAAATACCATAGAAAAGAATTAGCATTCAACCTTTTTTTTTATCTCTAACACATACTGAGCAAGAATGAAATACTTTGTACTGTGATGTATGAAACAGACTTTATAAGCATCGTAAATTCTGAATACTGCAGATTCTGGAGATCCAAAATAAAACCAGAAAGCACTGGATAAACTCAGATGTCTGACTGCATATGTGGAGAGTGAATCAGAGTTAATGTTTTAAGTCCAGTATGACTCCTCTTCATAATTGGAGACTTCATTGCTTTCTTTGATGACGGAACAACTTGACTTGGATTAAGGACTCTTTTGCTTCTTTATGCATCATATTTTTCCTACATCAGAGGTTCATGTCACAGAAAAAGACTTGATGACTCTTTCCACAGTCCTTTGAAGACATTGTATTCATGTAAGTAGTTGTCCTTGCTTACTCCAAAACTACTTCCCTCAACCAAGACTTTCTGACTTAACTTCTACAAACATCTTTGAAGAACAGGCTTTATCAACCATTGTCTGTCTATACTTTATTAACTGTAAACCTCTATATTTATTGCTTAGATTCAAGTTACACTTTAATCACTTGTTGGTAACATCAGTAATGTGAAGTGCAAGCATTTCCTTACACGAGCACTGTCCTATTGGAAGATGAGCTGTGCATTGTCCTTATTATACTTCTGAGTTGTTGGGTGGAACCTTATAGGGTATTGAGTGCCATGGGCTATGGAATGCGAGACTTCTGGTGGGGCCTATCTCAATATCGAGAGAATCTCACTTCATCTTTTATGCTTTTGACTCACTGTTGCTCATAACGAGTACTCATTGCCTCACTCATTAATATCCAGCTTTCTGTTTTACCAAACTCGCCAATAGGACTAGGTGTCAAGAAATCTTGACATTGAAGTCAGAACAGGCAACTGGCAACTTCAGCTTGGTGCTTGCTTTGAATGTTCTCCATGTTGCTTAGGAACAAAGAGCATCTCAGGGTGTGATCAATGGGCAGCAGCCCCACACACGCCTTTATCCACCCACATTAGCATCCAGCATTTGCTATGTCCCTACCATGATGGCACCTCTCCAATAGTCTGGTAGGGCACACAGAAAACACAGATGCATTGCAGTGTGCATAAGGAGCCAACATTGAAAGGCTGCGGCAGAGACACTGTACACATGGACAGGCACCGAGCTCGCAAATTGGACCAGGCCGTATCTCAGCTGGCTTGCTTGCTGTCTTGCTCATTTTGTACTCACTCACCAACCTGCATGCCTGCACCATCCATGCTTTGCCTTGCCTTTCCATGCTGTGTCAGTTACCACAGTCACATGACCAAGCAGCTTGCCTTGCTGCAAAGCAGTCCTCAGTTGGAAGGCTACATCTTGCTGTACTGCAAGGCTTCCAGAAGCAAAGGCCATTTATTAGACACTGACCAATGTGGGTGGGAGTGTAGGTCCTTACTGAACTCCATGGAGGTACCCGTCAGTCAGGTGGTGCTGGTGGTGCAGTAAGTTAGGGGCAGCCTCCAATACTAGTCCAGTGCATTGGCCGTGGTTGGGTGTCTGTTCGAGGTGTTCTGGGTCGCGGCGGGGTGGAAGGGATATCCGTGTCTCTGCTGTCTGAGCTGGGTCATGGTCCATCTGTTGGCTCCATAGTGGCCACTTCAGGGGATCGATCTGACGGGGAGATGTACAGATATCAGTCAGAGTTCTGGGCACCTCTCGTCCAGACTGTCTGGTCAGGTTTCTCAAGTGAGGGGCATGGTGGAGTCCGTCCACAGAAAGTATGGGAGTGTGATTGGTGGGGTAGGAGGGGGCTGATGCTGCAGGAAGGAGATTGGCAAATTATTTTTTCAGGATCAGGTCTGCAGGCTGGGGATGGTGGGGAGTTGACAATATAGGTCCCTGAAGTCTGGGCCATCCTAATACATGGCCTCTGGGTGCCATGTACCTCCCTGCCCCAGACAATTGAAAACAAGATCTCATAACTAGTTCTGAACACACCAGGATTAATGCAGATTAATATTTCAGTCATCGGTCTAGGATAATCAGAAATCATTTCAGGAAATGCTCTGGTTTTGTTCTTAGTTCAAGCTTGTGATGACAAGGTTTTTGTGGTCTCACTAAATGTGTGAATGCTGCAAAACTAATATGCTTATAATAACTGATCTTTTTGAAATACAGGATCCCACAAGCTAATTTCTGCATGTTTGTTTCAGGTTCTCCTTTCAACTTGTAAATGCTTTTACCATCAGGACTTTGAGCTTTTCCACAACTGTTAATGATGTGGCCCTAACAAGAGATGTCTCACCAGTTATCCATTTCTCTAAGCAACTCGGACTTTCTTTTGAGCAAATTGGTCCAATGACAAATGCAGTATTATGAATATTAAAACTGAAGATTGCTTCTTTCTCTGTTCGATATGCAGGATTCTAGTATTATAGCTACCAGGCCAATTACAAAGCAAGCGTTGCCAGACTGGGAGACAGTAAATTTACATTTAAATATTACATTCAGAAGTGTAGAGTTAAAATGACCTTATTTTAAAAAATATGCTTTTTTTAACAAATTAAACAAATTCTAAAATCGCATTTTCCATGCCTTACAGATGAAAAATTGTGTACAGTTGATGGAGTGTATGGGATTCATGAACTCCATGTATGGGAGTTGGCTGGAGGTAGGAATATTGCTTCACTTCATGTGAAATGCCTGGATCTTTCCACCTACAAAACAGCAGCAGTACAAATACGTGAAATCTTCCATAATGCAGGAATTCACTCCGTCACCATTCAGGTAGAGTTTGTTGATACAGTACCTGGTTCAGCCCTAATGTGCAATTTTCCCTGTATCCGAAAGGAATGTGAAAGTAAAATGTGCTGCATTTCTCAAAATGACAACGGCCGAGATGCAGAAGATTCCATAGAGATGCGTAACAATCCTCCAGAGGCATCGAGTAATGGCCTCGTGAGTAACAATGCAGCCGAAGATAATGTAGAAGAACTTTCCATTCTTCCATCCTGTGATCTGATAACAACTAAACAGAAAGAAAGAAAGGAAGCTACAAATGGGCTGTCGAATTTGCACAGCACGCCACTATAATTTGATTTTATAGGCAAAAAAGATTTTGCATTGAAGTTGAATTTAGGACTGGTAAACTGACAGATTATACTTGTTATATAAAGCAAGACTGCTACAGAAGAATTTGATGTAATTTTAATAACTTGTAGCTTGTTCATGATAACCGGTCTGAAATGAGCTTGATGAACTAAATGCAGATCACAATAGTGATTTTATTTGTGCTGTTATAAAAAGTGAAATGAAGTGGCAAATTACAATTTTAATGTTTTACCTCTTGCTCAGTAACTGACTTATATAGTAAATCTGAGTGAATTCCTCAGATCTGTTTAATTTCAGTTGCATGAAATCTCTGACTTTGACATTGCTGTCAGATGTCCTGTATTGACCATTTTTCTTCAAAGCAAGAAAGAAATCATTTAAATTGTTCCAATTTCATCAAACCAGAGCTATTGAAATTTTCTTTGCATAATTCTGTGTCATGAAATTATCAGGTACCAGGGATTTTTTTTTCGACATAACTGTTCAGCAGTGTTGTTTTCAGACAGGCTGCTCATTCTAATGAGTTCGTCTGGAGTGCATCAGTCTGACAGCTAATCTGTGTTCTTCATTAAAAGAAGCTGTGACATGTTTTGTTGCCACATGAATTTTATTAATTACAGTTACAAACACTGGGGTAATTGAGTGGGGGACTTGTCTTCGTTCTTAACAGTGATTCAGATCCAGTGAATTCCTAAGATTGAGGTAATATGGATTTGATACTGAGTAGGAGTCAAAATACATGGATTTGGAGAGGGCTGGAAACAAGCTTTCGTCTGGGTTTGGTGGGGGAGCCACAGGATTCTTGTATTCTAACCAAATGATTGCTTTAAATTCCAGTGTCATTGATGGGTTTGGATTGGGTGGGGTGGAGGGAAGGGGGAATGGGATTTGGATGATGACAGGAAGAGAGCAAATTTGCCATCCATCCTGATCTCAAGGGGACGTATCTTGGGAGTCCAAGCCACTTTGGGAATTTGGCCTTGTATGTCCTTATTAAAATTTGTGGATGACTTTATTCAGTAATTTTTGGCTAATTTGTAATTGTAATTACTAACAGGCCTCTGGAAACCACATTTACTGCAGTGGTTGTGAATCCTTTTTAGATGTTTGGATGGTATAGTTTTGTTTCCAGATCCATTTGTCACAAAATCACGTCTCTAATTTATTGATATGTACTGCTACTCGTGCCAGGAGATGTGATTAGAACATTGTTCTTCCAAGAGTCATAAATGTAATTCGTGCGGTAATTTTTCACGAAATGTTAACAAATCTGTAAAGTGAACAAACCAAAAGTGGGTCTAGAGATGAAGTGTTTTCTTCTGAAAGTTTGTGTATTTAAAACAGACTCTAGCCAAAGTATTTAATGCTAAACAAACCTTCTCATAAGAGATTTGGGTTGTAAGTTTAAATAAGTATGCTGAGGTTTTGCCTCATTAACTTTTTGGGAGGGAAATGGAAAGAGGTATTTCACAATTTGACTCAATTGGTTACATATGTCAGGAATTGTTTGTATTCAGGTAGATGGTATGTGAAAGAAACAAGTTAGATGGGTTGAATTTTATCCTAATCTCAGCCTGTGGTTTTGTTTTATACTCTAGCTTCACTTCGATTCAGTATGCCTTAAAATGATTTGTTTCTGTCATAAGTATTTGGCACCACATTGCCAAAAAACCATTTGTTGCCAAAGCGTAAAGTCCAAAAAGATTAGAAAAGCAGAAACTATTAGGGTGATCGGGAAGGATTCTTTCACTTCCCCAGAAATGAATCTGTATACTTAAATTATACTTTAAACAAAGAACGTGGTAGAAATATATCCTTCTTTTAGCTTACGTATGCAATTATCATACAGCAGTATCCAATCAGATTAACAGTCATGCCGTTTGCTGGGGTTTCAGACATTCTCGTAAGAAACAGTTCATGTTAATGAGCAAAATCTTTATCAAATTTTAAATTACTGCTTTGAACTGCCTTTCAAAAATGTTGTGATTTGTAGCCATTCTCAAGATTGCAGTTAATTCTGGTTGAAAATTCCTGCGGAAATGTTTTTCTTTTGTTCTATTACTTCTGTTTGTAGTTAATGTGCTGCAATAAAAAGTGGGTACTGTACACTGTGAAAATAATCATCCTGCACAAGTATTAATGGTAATGATATGCTGTACTTTTTGTCATTGATATGCTTTTAATGAGTGAATGATCCTTGAGAATGTAGACAAGTTTGAGTCAGTATAAAAGTGATACTTGAAATTTGCAAATAAATGTACTTATTTTAAAATGTTACTCTCATTGGGAGAGTAAAGCTACCTGTTGTAAAATGTGAGTGTTTACCTATGCAATAAAATAAAATAAATCTTTGTGAAGGTAATGTTACTGTTTAAAGAATTGAATAGTATGTGTGCGGGTAAGTGAGAGAATTTTTGTGCTGCATATTTCAATGATTACAGTCTAATAATTGTACAACCTCCTTGACAATCTTTGTCTCTCTCTAGGTTATGTTTTACTTATACAAGACTTTTTCTTGAGCCTATCTACCTGAGTCTGATATGTTTGGATGAGTATACTCATGCTTGTGTCTTTTGTTTTGCTCCTCTATCCATTTCTTCCAGTCTGCCTACAGCTTTGTCCTAGTTTGTTCCTGTACTATTTCTCAATGTCTGATTCTGCGTCATGATTTCTGCCTTCCTCCTTGTCAGTCTGATCAAAGCATATATTTATAATATTTTCTCCTTGAATCCAGATAACAATATTTTAATGTTTATGACTGGTATCCATCTCACTCTGCTGTTTAAGACCTTATTATAATTGTTTGAAACTAGAAGGTGGTGTTTTTTTATAGTAAAATGTAATCATTGCTTCCTAATCCATTGAATTCAAAAGATAGCAAACTTTTCTTTCCAGAATCTGCATGTCACTTTGATGAAGAGCCTGCTGGAGGCTGCCTTTAGAATAGTGATTCTCTTCACATTTCCTCAGCTTGTTCTCACATGGTGAGAAAAGCTAGTTGTGAAAGTGCCACAGTGTGAAGTGACTGTGAAGGTCTTGTGGCTGACAAGGTAGCATCGTCAGGCGGATTTTTCACTCCCTTGAGTTGCATGGGCAGTGGAGAGAAAGTTGTGAAAATACAGCAAAAATGGAAAAGCAGATTCTTGACGTCGAGAAATATACTATCGGTTTTCCCTTGGGGTTCAAGTGGCAAGTTCTGAATCTCACTAATGAGCCACGACTACCTTAATTGCATGCATCCGCATCTCATCATTAACTAAACTTGCCTCATTTCTAGGTAGCTTCCAATTCTCCCGTCTTTTCCCGAGAAAGTAGATGATATCAATTCCCAACATGAAAGTCGGAGCAGTTAGCTGGTAGTGGCAGCTGGATGCTTGTTTTTCTGGGCCTTCATCCAAATCTATCTTCACCACGAGGACCCTGCATGCTCCATGAGCATTGTCCTCTTCAACTTCTCATCCAAGCATGTTGGCAACAGCAAACCACCAGCCCTACCACACTAGCATGAGCTAACTTTTGAGCCAACTCTCACATGACTTGGTTGCATTTGGCTCAGTGGATTGCAATGCTGTCTCACGTCTCCAGGGATCTGAGTTCAATTCCTGCCTTGGGTGACTGTTGAGAGTTTATATGTTCTCCCTGTGTCTGTGTGGGTTTTCAGTGGATGCTCTGGTTTCCTCCCATGGTCCAAAGAGCCGCAGGTTAGGAAGTTGGCCATGCTAAATATTTGATGAATGGGCATCTTGAACTGGGGTCACAGTCTAAGGATATAGGGTAGGCCATTTAGATCTGAGATGAGGCGAAATCTTTTCATTCAGACCGTGGTGATCCTGTGAAATTCTGCAAATGAAAGCAGTTGAGGCCAAAACATTTGAATGTTTCCAACAAGGAGTTATATCTAGTTCTTAGTGCTAAAAGAGGGAGCAGGGTACTGAGTTGGACGATCAAGCATTATCATATTGAATGGCGGAGCAGGCTTGAAGGGTAAATGCTGCTCCTGCTACTATTTTCTACGTTTCTAAGTCTTACTCCAGGATTTCCTGGCAATGATAGGAGTATTCCAGATGGGATCAGGCACGTTGATAATTTCCTAGTCTTTTTGATATGCCAATGTCATCTGCTAAGAGCAGGAGAGATCTCTGGTTAGACATTACACAGCTTACAGCTTCAGATACAGCAGAAATCCTGCAGGAGAAGAGTACTGAGGAGGGCTATGTCCAACACTGGATGAACAATGCTGAAGCAGGAGAAGTGACTGTGAACAGTAACAGATCAAGAGCCAGCAGCCAGATGTTTCTGAATCAGCGCAAGGTGAGTTTAAAGGTAGACAGAAAGTGAAAACTAACCTCAGTATCTACTGGATAAATTATGGACTTGTACTTGTGTAGTCATTCACATAATTAAAACCTACCAAAGTCCTTTTTTTCTGTTTGACAGAGCATTTGTGTGAAATATGCTTGAAAGTGAAAGTTGTTATAGTCCCAAGGCTGCTGTCTCATTAGAGAGAGACAAGTGGTGGTGAGTTTAACCTGAGGGTCATTATGCCTCTGGTGGAATTGAGAGGGAAGGCCTTTCATGGTACCCTCAACTTGTATTTGGCAGGAAGACACTGATTATGTCTGGATGGTCCAGACACAAACAACCCCAGGGTCGCCTGAATAAGCCTCCAGGCCCAATGGGCTCCATTACCAAGGTGGCTCCATTCATCACAGGTGTGAAATGAGGGAGCATACTAAGATATAGTGGGAAGGGAGAGGAAGAAGGAAATCTCTTGAGAACAATTTGGTGCCATGAGTAAACAATGCACTGTACATTATTTTGCAGTTTTGTTTTACAAATGTGACTGCTTTCGCCTTACAACTGGTGATTCATCTCTGTGTAGCACTGAATATTGTTGTGCCATTATGAAGTATCTCTCATGGCCACAGAGTGTACCAGGGATTGATGCCTGTGTTGAGAGCCAGTTGCAGCATCTGGAAGCAAGGGA